GCGGGAATGGTACACAGGCTCCATACTCAGATATGAGAATCGGGGTGTTTTCTGGCCCAAGGGCAGGCCCTCCCTGTTTGGGAAGCGGGACAGCCACAAAGGTGAAAGGCTTTCTCAAACCCACAATGGCCCCCTGTGTCTGTGCAGCATTCAAAGCATCGGAGAGGACTTGGGCAGATATGGGCAAGTCACTTCCCCTAAGCCCAAGACCAGTGAAATCCTGACTATAACAGCAGTTCCCAGGCATGGCCCTACGGCTTCGCCGGCTCTTCTAGTCATAACCTAGTGCTCCCATTGCCCAGGGCACTGTCCATGCACACATTTTAATGACAAATCTCTTTAACCACGTAGAGGTTTTTATTGAACTCAAATTCAGGGGCTCCAAAGCCTGAGGACAAGGGAGACTGGGGGTTGCACTCAGAGGCCCAGGCCCCCTCTGGGCTTTACTCCCCATCCCACCTCCCCTCACCCCTTCCTGACTCAACAAGGTCTCAGTAGCTACAGATCTAAGCTACCCCACTCTAATTAAGTAACCCTCCCCGCCCGCCCCTCCCCCATCTAGCGCTTTGCCAAGCAGGCGTCCATGAAGGGGCACGCTGCTGCTGAGGCCAGCTCTCTGTTGACCTCTTTCTGGATTCTTCCAGAGCCTCCTGCTGCCTGTTTGGACTACCTCCAACCCCTCTTCAGTACCCATTTCCCATAAATCTCCAGGGCATATAGCTTTCTCCTCCCTAGCCCCCTCTCCTCCTAGAATCCTCAACTCCTCCAGCTTTTCCGCTATTCTAAAGGTTTCTCTGGCTCCGTCCCCTCCTCTTCTGCCCCCTGACCAGGCCCCAGGTCAGCGACGGCCAGCGGCGTGGGTCCGCTGGTGGCGGATGAGGTCGGAGCTCTGGGAGAAGGCCTTTCCACAGTCATCGCACTTGTAGGGCCGCTCCCCGCTGTGGACGCGGTGGTGCTGCAGCAGCGTGGAGGAGCGGCAGAAGCCCTTGCCGCACACAGCACACCTGTAGGGCCTCTCGCCCGTGTGGGAGCGCTGGTGCTGAATCAGCGTGGAGGAGCGATTGAAGGTCTTCCCACAATCCGGGCAGCTGTAGGTGCGGCCCGGCAGGTGGGTGCGGGCGTGGATGGCCAGCACGGAGCTCTGACCGAATCGCTTGCCGCACTCGGGGCACTTGAAGGGCTTCTCGCGGGCATGGCTGCGGGCGTGGGGGATCAGGGCCGAGCGCTGGGAGAAGCTCTTGCCGCAGATGCCACAGCTGAAGGGCCTCTGCCCAGTGTGCACCCGCTGGTGGCTCCGCAGGGATGAGTTCTGGCTGTAGCACTTGCCACACTCGGGGCAGCTGTAGGGCCGCTCGTGGCTGTGGGTGCGCTGGTGCCGCAGGAGGTAGGAGCTGTCTCCGAAGGCCTTGCCACAGTGCGGGCACTTGTAGGGCTTCTGACCAGAGTGCGTACGCTGATGGCGAAGCAGGTAGGAGCTGTCGGCGAAGGCCTTGCCACAGCGGGGACACTTGTAGGGCCGCTCCCCCGTGTGGGTGCGCTGGTGCTTGATGAGGTCGGAGCTCTGGGAGAAGGCCTTGCTGCAGACCTCACATTTGTAGGGCTTTTCGCCCGTGTGGATTCGCTGGTGCTGGATGAGGGTGGAGCCCCGGCCGAAGCTCTTCCCGCAGATGCCACAGATGTTAGGCCGAGGGCCCTGGCCCCCCCTGGCCCGACCGCCCCGTCGGCCTGAACCCCGAAGGGTTCCTGTCAGGCCCAGAGGATTCTGGAGCATCTCAAACTGGGGGGTGGCCAGCAGGGCCCCCGTGGGCATCTCAAAAGGTGGCCCCAGGGGAAGGTCTGCTGCGGGCTGCTCCCCGAACCCCGGTGTGAAGGAGTCCAAGGGATGGACCCCCAAGGGGATGCTCAGGGGACTCTTTTCCTCGGGACTGAGAAGCACCTCTGGACCTTCCTGGAATTTGGAACTTGGAGCTTCAAATTCAGGGCTCTGGGTTTTGAACTCAGGGTTCTGGGGTTCGTACCCAGGGCTCTGGGGCTCATACCTCGAGCTTTGAGATTCATACCCAGGGCTCCGGGGTTCATAGCCAGGGCTCCGGGGCTCATACCCCGGGCTTTGTGGTTCAAACTCAGGGCTCTGAGAATCTGAATCAGGGGTTCTGGGTGCAAATTCGGGGCTCGGGGGCACAAACCCAGGGCTTCGGGACTCAAAACCTGGGCTTTCAGGCTCAAACCTGGGGCTCTGGGGTTCAAACTCTGGGCTTTGTGACTCAAACCCAGGGCTCTGGGGTTCCAGCCCAAAAGGTATCTCTTCCACCTCATAGTCCCCAGTGCTTTCTTGCTGAGAAATTTCCTCTTCCTCATTCTCACGCATGCTGCCTGCAGGATCAGAGAATTACAGAAAACCCAGATTGTGTGGAGCCTGGAAGGTCGCTGGGTCCCACCATTAATTAGTTGCACCAGCCTCTCCCTGCTCCTCAAACATGGTCGCTGGCCCTCGTGCAGGTGCTGAAATTCCCACCTTCCCCACA